TTTCTGTGATCCAGGGCTCAGCCTTTTATGTTCAGGGCAAGAAGACTCAGAGCAGGATATTCAAAGATTTTTGCTCCTCTGAGTCAGGATGAAATAATAAGGCATTTAGGAGATCTGAGTGAATCCTTAGGAAGCCTGTTCTGCCCCCAAAAAAACGATACCAAGTTTCTCACTCTGGAAATACTTCTTACAATGAGAATGGGCTTCACTGGTTTATTTCCTTTCTCTTTTTATTACAAATTCCTGTCCCAGGAATTTTCTGGTTTTTCCTCCATCCCCTCTATGGATGGAGGAATATAAATAATATAATATAAATACTATAATATTATATAAATAATATAATATAAATCTAATATTCATGCTGAATCTGATAGATTCTTTCTGGTCCCAACTCTTCTTATCAGTGCTTGTTGTCTTTGTCTGTATATACTTTCCATGTAAACCAGGAAAAGTAGCTCTGCTGGAAGATGGATCTTCCCAGCAGTGGAAAAAAGTGCTAAATGGAGTGGGGGAGCACCCAGCCAGCAAAGGAAAATCTTACCTGTTTTGGAAAGACAGTGAAAATAATTTTATTTTTACCTCTGCTTTGGAGAAGAAGCGAAAGGCAGAGGAAATAAAAAAATCTTGCTCAAAACCCACTAGAAGTGTTTGTTAGGAGTTTTGCAGACAAATGGAGGGTAATTGACAGTGTTTAACTGTCAACGCAAGAGAAATACCCAGTTCTAACTTTTTTCTAAGAAGGAGGAAAGCAGCAAAAATTTTTCATCAACATCAACATGCACATGACAGCAGAGAAAAACACCAAGAAGTTTTGCTTGGACAGTTTTCACCTGGTTGAGAAAGCCAGGGCACATAAATACATATAGATTCAGATATACACATGCACACACGTGTGTGCATAGGAGTTTCTGGATATATTTGACAAGTCTGATTCCATTTTGTGACCAGCTTTTATCAGAACCGTTTCTGAAAAATATTCCTGGTGTAATAAACCTTGTTTGCTTTGCTAAATTGTCCATAATTTCATCCCAGTTTTTCCTGCCTGTCTGCCTCAGGGTTACTGCACAGGGTGGGAAGGCTCTTGCACACTCCAGCTGTCCCCAGGCTGGGAAACAGCTCCCAGAGACTGTGGTGAGGTGGCCACAAAAAGTGTGCAAAAATGCTGTTGGTTTAGATGGCGTGGGAAATGCTCCTCTTGACCAGTTTCTTGCTGTGTGAAGAGCAAATCCTGCCCAGAATGTTCCTGTGCCTCCTTTCTGGACAGGGGTGATGCTGCTCGGCTGTTCGGGCAGGACAGTTTATTCCTGCCTGAGCAGACACTGTCTCCCACTCTGTGCAAAGCATGGCCAGACTTGGACTGGCAGGCCTGATGGAATATAAACACTTGATGTTTATTAAATATTGTGAATGTTCTGCCCCAAAATGTAAATAAGTAGTTGGCATTTTGATTTCTAGGATGATCGACCACGATCGAAATGCGTGAGGCTAACAAGAGGACATCCAATTCTTTTAGGATCATTTCAAAAGGTGTCTATGCTCCTTCTGCATGCTGAGGACTTCTGGGTGGAAGCCAACTCCTAAATGATAGGGGTTAGGATGAGGCTAGCAAGAAAGCTCCTCTCACCAAGGTTATTTCATAACTGCCTACTGCAGAGTTTCACATTTACCACTGGAGCAGCTGGTGCTGGCTCACCTCATCTGTCAGGCAGGGAGCCGAAGGAGATGTATTGCTGGACTGACCCCAATAGTGAATCCGATGTTCTTGGCTTTTTTTTTAACTCTCCCGACCTGAAGGGAGAAGTGAACCTTTTGAAAAAGAAAAGTTTATGCATAAAAAATTCTGTGCAGTGCACATTTCCGGATGAATGTTCAGGCCAGCATTACTTAATGCTGAAATCAAAGCTTTGGGGATTCATGGACATTTCCAAGGCTGCTGTGGTACTGCAACCCCTGTGTATAACCTCATGCTTAACACAGGGCTTTTATTCACCTTGAAGTTCTCTTTTGTTCTTCAATCAGCTCTGTTCTGGAAGGAGAGGGGGGAAGCAGTAATAAGATTTAGCAGGATCTCTGGAGATGAACAGATGCAAGCCTAGCTCTCCTGGAACAGAGACCTTTATTACAGTGTTTGTATTCCAGAGGAGGTGGTCAAGGAAAATTTGGGACAGGATGAATGTTTTCTGTGGAGAAGAGATGCTGTTTAAACTACCATCTGTGTGTAACTTACATTGCAGTAGGAAAACAAGATTTGCTGCATCCTGGAGAAAATGATGTGAATGTGTTTGGTAGAAGTTGTCCAGTAATGCTGGGATCTCTTGTGTGCCTGGGAGCACCTCAGGGCAGTCTCAGCCTTGCTGAATTCCCAGGGACTGCCCTCTTAATGGAAAAGTTGTGCCTCTGCTCCAGGGGATTGTTGAACAACACTTGGTCTTGCTGGGTGTCACAGAGGTTCAGACGTGTTCTGCTGCAGAATGAGATCGCAAACCAGATTGCTTTTTTTCTTTTCCATCCTTTTATTTCCAAAGAGGATCTTTGCTCTTTCCCCCCACTCCCCAGCTCAATAAGCTCTGTGGTGGCTGTCAGGACATTGATATATCATGGTGAACACTTGAATTCAGGTGGTGTCTGCAAACCTGACAGATCTTCAACCTGCCCAAATTTGAGTATTGTAATTGCTCGGCTACTGTTGCTTAATGTGAATGCGGGGGCAGGAAGGAACATCTCTCTGCTTCTGCAGAACCTCAGGAAAATAGCTTTGGTTTAGACAAATTGGTATTTTCTTTCAAATATTTCTAGTGAATGTTGCAGAGGTCAAATGTTAAGGCCTTCCTCTGGAATGGAAGTTTGAAAGATTTATGTTGGTCTTCAAATCCATAACCTGCTGACACACTACAAAGGCCTGAGATGGCTGCCAATACCTCAGCACATTTTCAAAGCACAAACAGTGGCTTTAGTCATCATTAAGTTGCATGAATCAGACCATTCTTCCTTGGGCAGTCCTCCTGCAGAGGAATTTTGTTTAAGTTTCTATTGTGCATCTGCTGTTCATGCTTTCATATGGGAACAATTTTTTCATGTGCATCAGAGAGGGGGTGAGTAAGGGAACAGTGACACATTGACCTCAGAAGCTCTCAGGGAATTTTCTAGAGCCTTGGCCTGCCTGCAGGAGGGGGTTTTGTGGGCTTGCTCCACTCTGGGCTTGTTCCTCTGGTTCCCCTGTGTGCAGGTCCCTCTGATCCACCATCCCTGTGGGGGTTTGGGAACACAGACAAGCCTTCCCTGCACAGTAAAAACCCACAGGTATTTTGAAGGTGAGTGATGAGCAGAGGAGAATTGATGGTTAGAACTTCATACCATTGCTGGTTTTGTCCTGCCTGCTGTGTAGGTACAGAGGAATAGCTTCTCATCCACTCTTAAATTGGCAATTTCTGGTCTTGCAAGATTCACTTCAAGTTTGCAGGCAGAGAAAACTTTCTTCCTTAGCGCATTGCTAAAGTCTCCAAGGTCCTGCTGATGCCCTCTTGAGAAGAAAGTTTCATTCCCATGGTGTGAAATGAAGCTCCTGCTGGCATTTGAGATGTCTCTGCCCATGAACTCTCCTGTCTCTCTCAGGCACCTGCTCAGCTGCTGGTACTGAGCTCCTGCTCAGGCACTTTGGTGAGCAGAACACATTGTTCATAACTCATGTCCCCTCCTTCCTTTACAAGTTTCAGTTGACTAAAAGTGTTGTCTATTCCCATTTATTGTGGTGGAAATCAGGGCAGAACCAGGCCAGAGGAGATCTGTCTGTGCACATCCAGCTGGCTGGGACTGGGCTTGGGAGGAGCACGGGGAAGGAGCTCTCTTTGGGTAGTGGTAGGTTCAGCTCAGGAATCTCAGATGGACAAGAGTTACTCTGAGGTTAATAACTCTTAGGTAGGAAAGCCTTGAGGGAAGGAAAACCTGCATCTACTTTGGACCAAAACTATAGAAATGTGAAATTTTTCATGGAAAACAATGGCTCCCATTTTACTTCCTGAAATTTTTCATGGAAGACAATTGCTTCCATTTTACTTCCTCCTCCCCATGTGTTTAAATGTTGGAATGAAATGGAAACAAGCTGGGAAGCTCCTGGCTGGTCCTTAAGAAGCTAAGGAGGAGCTGACAGCATGGAAATTGTGGGGTGACAGAGACTAAATCATTTACTCCTGAGCTTAGAAATCTGAGCTGAGGCATGGGCTTAGCTGTGCAGGAGCATGAAATCTTTTCTTTGATTTTCCCCTTGGTTTTGCCCATATAATTTTAGAATTACCATTACGAAACACAATAACTGTTCTTGCACACTTCACTGAATGATTGCCATTAGCTCAATATCACCCATTTCTCCTGTATTTGATACTGCACAACTTTGGAGTGGAGACTTTGGGCTCTCTCCCTCTTTGCTTCCCTGGCTCTTTCCAGTGCTCATGGCTCATCTGGGACAGGCAGAGCCGTGTTGTTGTTTGTAGTCCCAGAGCCCCAGAGCAGGATTTTTTTGGGAGCTAGTCACGACCGCAAACCTTGAGGCCTCTGAGTGACCCCATTTGTAATCCAGGGATGTTCTCAGAACTTCCCAGGCCACAAGACACCCAGATACATCCCTGAGCTGATGGCTGCCCAGCCAGTGGCTGCTGATGGATAGCTGAGTTCACCCCCACAGCCTGTAGGAATATGGGATTGTTCATATGGGTGACTGCTCTTGTGGTGAGCAAGGCTCTTTTTGGGATGGCCAGTGCATCAGAAGATCTCTCCTCTCTCTCCCCTCCCACTGACCTTCCCCAATGTGTCCTTGACTAAATATGTAGTGCTTGCACACAAAAGGAAGGAATTTAGGAGTGTGTGAAGTACTTGCAATTAAATGTCACGCCAGCCACATGTGGTTTTGCTGCTCCAAATTCAGCTCAAATAAATGGAAAGGATTACAAAATGAGGGAACAACTTGGGTCAACCTGGAGTGTTAAACAAAATATGTTTTCCTTCAGTAGCATCCAGGAGTGTGTGGTGCATTTTGCCAAAGAGAGAAGACAGTGTGGAGTCTAAGTCAGGGGCTCAGGTGAGGCTTAACCTACACAGGCCTAAGTAAGTTTCTTCATGAGCCTTGCTAGTTCTGGTGCTTGAAATTAGTTTCTCCTTGCTTTCTTTGGCCTGTGGTGCTGCAGAGAAGGGAATGTTTTCCATGCTGTGACAGGACAAGGAGGCATGAAGGTAGAAGTTGGGAGTGAGGTCATGGCTCAGGCTCACTACAGGGAAATCAGGCAGAGGATTCATGTTCACCTTGAGCCTTCACTAAGCCAGGCTTAGGGGGCTCTCAGCTCTTTAAGGTATTTAGGATTATTTCCTCATGCTGGACCATACATTCAATGAGATGTCCCCATATGTGAGGTTTTATTTCCTCCTCTCCCAGGGAGATGGATGTAGTTTCTCCCTGAACTCACTCACATCTCTGACATTCCTGTGATCTAGAAATCAGTTTAATCTCCTGATAAGGAAAACTTCCACTGGTTTTAATTGGGAATTGCTCTGTCCTGGTAGAACTGCTCCACTTATTTTGTGAGCCAAAAAGTTCCAGCAAACCTGACACAGCTCTGTTGTCTTCTTGGAGGGGTTTGGTGGCATTCACTGATGGAGGAAGGACGTGTGCTTTTTCCTGAAAAGCTAAGGAGAATTATTTGCTCTCTCTATCAGCAATGCCATTGCCTTTCCCAGTCAACTACTGCCAGCTGTGGAAGGCACGTTCCCTCCTGCCAGCCACTCATTGTGCTTTTGCAGTAGGAAGAGGGGGGATGAAAGAAGGGGGGATCTTAATTGAAAAAATAGGCCTGGGGCTTCAGGGACATAACAAAGTCAGTGGGAGTGTGTGAACAGCAATTTATTTTGTCAGTTCAAGTTACAGTCTTTCTGACATGTGAAAATTGCAGATGCCAGTTTCTCAATGTGTCACTGTGACACACAGCATCCCAAATAAATAATGAAACTCTGGACTTGGTTTGCAGAGCTTCGGAAAGCCCGAAGAAATGGGATATAAAAATTGACAGATAAATTGAGAGAGTTTTCTTTGACATACGGGGCATGATCTTAGTTCAGCCTTTCACAAGATGATCTTCATACCTTTCATTGCTTCAGCAGAGTTTTCCTTTCCTCAGTGTGGTCCTCACAGAGTTTATGGCCTTCACGGCCTCTTTGGGCTTTGAAAATGGAACTGTTTTCATGAAGAATCAAACAAACCTTTTCCCTTGAAACTGCAGAGGATTGAATAACGTGTGGCTGAAGTGTTGATCTGAGACTGAGTAGATCACCAAAGCAACTTGTTAAGGCTACGGTCCAATTAGGAAATTACCTGTTATCCTGACTGCCTACAAGCCTTTTAAATATTCTATTGTTCTTCACCTGCTAAATTGGAGTGATGATGATATTTAAATCTCCTGTGTTTTCTGACTTAGTTTAAATCTTTTAGAAGGAGCTCTCCTTTCCATGTATTTCTACCGCACTTAATATAACTTGGTTCAGCCTTTATTATGGTATCCATTTATTATAGCAGTAAAATCTCATTTTGTGCAGATCAAGTAGTTTCTATTAATGTTTGTTCATTGGGCTTACAGAAGTAGACAAATGGCCATTAATGATCAGGGGACCAAGTCAGAAGCATGAAGAGTTTATTAAAAGTTCAATTAGAAAGAAACTGTTCTGCAGAGACCTTTAGCAAGAGCTTGAGTGGCAGCAAAGACATTAAAAATCCTTAATAACTCAGCAAAGATGTGAATGGTTTCCTATCCCATTTCCCCAGTTAATCTGGTTTAGTCAGCTGGGTGGTCAGACAGAACGTTGACTTCTGAGGAAATCCTGAAAAATTAGGCTTGTTTTAGCTAAGGGCAAAAGAAAAACGGAAGAAAGAATATAGAATATGACAAGCCTTCAAATGCATAAAAGCCTTGTACATGCAAGAAAAAATGTGTTATCTTTGGAGAAGAACAGGACAGGAAGCTGCAAATTTAAATTGCAAGGAGGTCTGTGTCCAGAAGCTGAAGGAGGCATCACCAAGGCCAATGAGGGTGAGAGTTGGTGCTTTACCTGCAGCTCATGGTCCTGGCAGGCTGGCATGGAAGGGAAGATACTGTCCAGCCAGGCCTTGCTCGAAAGCAGCATCTAAAAGAGAAATGCTATATATTATAATTTTGCACATTCAAGAGGCTGAAAGTCAGTGCAGGCAGGAACGTTCATGACTTTGAAGGAAGTGTTAAGCTGGCACTTCTCACCAGCGGGTAGGTTGTGCCCAGGAGTGTTTGCTGGTGAAAGAGGATCCTCCTGCTCGTGGAACAGGACATTACCTTCAGCTGCACTGCCCTGTCTCGTCATGTAAACTTAAAAATAGGGGACAGATCCTCAGGAATTCAAAGCCAAACTGCCCTTCTTGAGCAGCAGCCAGGGCCAAAAGTAGAAACGTTAAACAAGCTGGAGAGGGATGAGGCGGCTGGTGACAGATGGGTGAGCTCAGCCCGTACATTTCCCAGGGCATGGTTTAATCTGAGTTCTTTTCCATGGAGAAGCATCAGTTGACTTTGCACCAGTGCTCTTAGGGGAAGCACTGCACTGCCCTCCTCACACTTTGGAGACAGCCCTCTTTGTTTCCTTGGGAACTACGGAAAGGAGCTGAATTAGGCTGCAAAGACTTTGACTTCATCCACAGCTGCCCTGGTCACACTCTTGTGAGAGCTTCCCTGGCTGCACAGACTTGGAGAGAGTTGATGCAGTTCCTTGAGAGCCCACTTACCCTGATCTTAGCTCAGTGCTTGTCTGTCCTCTCAGAACATGCGTCACTGCACACGGTAATTACGAGGAGAGCTAAACTGCCAGGGAAGGATGATTGCATCATTAAGCCACTGGAACAGGAATAACTAATTCTGCTCTTAACTCTTCATGGAACCCTGGTTATGACGCTGAAGATCAGTTTTCTCATCTAAAAGGAATTTTCTTCCTACCTTATTCATTTTATTTTATTGCATAATGTTGCTGTGTCAATTATGTTTTGAAGGGACAGAGCTGTAAGGAAGTTGTGTCTATGGCACCACTTGTGAGGATCACGTTCAAACTGGGATTTCTGCTAATACTATAAGTGTCCTACACTAAGAATATTAATTTCAACAATGATGTTTGTAATGGAAAACACCTACAAGGATTTGGGAGATTAATCACAACAGAAACATCTCAAAGAAAATCTGTAGTGAACAGTAGAACCTGGTCCATTCTTTGTGTGAATTTGCAACCCTGACATCTCTTACTGAGTATTCTGGCAAGCTCATAGCACTTTCAAGGAAAGATTTAACAGCCAAGCTAGAGCACACATCTCATGTTGCTTTTAGTTTATTATTATTGCAAAATGCGCTATTGAACACTTACGAGTGCATCGCAAAATAAAATGCTGGGGAATTACAAATGAGTTTTGCTCTTAAGATGAATGAGTCTGTGATTTAGAAGCTTTGACATCAATAGCACTGATGCTTTCATGGTAAAAAGGACTGCAGTTGTCAGATTTTCCTTCTACTTTGGGAGTGTTGGCACAATTTTTAGAAAGTAAGTTTTGGTGAGATTCTTATTAATCCTTTTCCCAAAAAGTTCAGTTAGCTATGAAATAAGAATGGCTTTGTCCTTTTTCATCCTTGCTTATTTTCCTTCTTCTAGATCTCATGATTTTTATGAAGTCAACCTTTTTCTACCTCTGCTTCTTCCTCTCACACCCCACCTCTCATGGACAAAATTCTACAGACCCCTGGGACTCTGTTACCCATCAGTTCCCTTGGCATGAAGCTCCTTTGTCCATGGAAGCTCCATTTTTGTGTGTGTCACATCATAAAAAACTATTTATGTTATGCAAAACTGTCACAGCTGAGGAGCCAAGTAATTCCTTTCAAATTCACACTGCAAAGCAATAGGATGGGTTTTTTTAAATATTTCAGACAATGCTTTTATCAAAATGGGTCATTCTTCTGTCTAATCAGCATGTGCTCCTGGCCATGACCAGTTCTAGGTGCAAGAATTGCTGCAGTGGGCAGTAATGGATTAAATATGTCCACTGTGAAAGATTCTTCCTTAATTGCATTAGTTTGAGGTTTATTTTATGCTTGAAATGTGGCGCTGAGCCAAAGAGACCACAATCCACCCTCCTTTCCAAGGTCCGAGCACCAGGCAGTATCCCTTTACAAGAAGGGTGCTTAAGTGCTTTTCTGAATCAAAGCCTGAGTCAGTGCTTTAATGTACTCTGTTCATGCTTGGAAATGGCTTATATTCCACTGAGCAAATTTCCTTTAAAGAAGCTAAGCCTTCTACAGTGTCTGAAGAATTCAATGTCACACTGAAAACTTATCCCCCAGATCTGTGTCCGAAGAGATCCTGCCTAATGGATGCTGCCTATTGCTTACTGCCATGCAGCATTCCTGCTCCAAGCACTGAAACAGTCTGTTGTCTCTCCAGGCAATGGGACAGATTTTTCTCTGGTCGCTTCTGGTGTTTTACATTTGTATTCAAGGTTCTAGGGGAGGTCACTCCAGTGGAGCACCAGTAGCATCTCCATACCTGTGATCTCATACATGGATTTGAGGCTGGCTCTGACACAGGAGTGTGATAGGACTCAGAGTATCCAGCAGGAAGTTTAGGCAGCTGTTTCATGGAGGAATCACAGAATATGTGGAGTTGGAAGGACCCATAAAGATCATTGAGGCCAACTCTCTCCTTCTCCCAGGACTGCCTAGGGGACTCACAGAATGGTTTGGGTTGGAAGGAACCTCTGGTTCCACCCTCTGCTATGGTCAGGGGCACTTTCCAGTATCTCAGGCTGCTCCAAGCCTGTCCAACCTGGCCTTGGACACTTCCAGGGATGGGACAGCCGCAGCTTCTCTGGGTAACCTGTGCCATGGCCTCACCACCCTCACAGGAAAGAATTTCTTCCTGATCTCTAATCTAAACCTCCCCTCTGTCAGTTTTGAAGCCATTCCCCCTGTTCTGTCACTACATACTCTTATCAATAGTCTTTCTCCACCTTTCTTGTTGGCCTCCTTAGATAAGAGCACCATCCAAGATGCTCCTTGATCCTTGGACAGGGGATCCTTGGACAGAGTGCTATGGAGAGCCTGTTCCAGGGATCAACCACTCTTTCCCTAATGTCTGCTCTGAACTTCCCCAGATGCAGCTCCACTCCCTTTCCTCATGTCCTCTTGCTGGCTCCCAGAGTGGGGATCAGCAGCTCCTGCTCTGCCCTCCAGGGAGGTGTGGGCTGCCCTGAGGACATCCCTTGCCCTCTGTCACTGCTCTTTCAGAGCCCTGGGCCCTGTTTTCCTTTCCCCGAGTCAGAAGCAGGTGCCTGACCTGCCTATGTGCTTTCTTGTGATTCATTTCCAGCCTTACTGCTGACTGCTGCTTCCTTGTCAGAGCTCGAGGAAGATTCATCCCAGGCTGGCTGGGCTATTTTAAGGCCAGGCTTCTATGGATCTACACGAGCCCGTGTGCTTCAATTAGCTTTTGTCTGGCCTGAGCTGTTTTTGTTATCACCCTCATTTTGCTGATAAAGCAGGAACATTTTTAGAGGTGGTTTTTTTCCCCCTCTGCAGGAGCCCTGGGATGGATGGGAATGAACTTTGTCAGGTGCTCAGAGTGAAAGGAATTGTCAGGATACCTGGCTCCTCTGTCTGTCCTGACAAACCACTCGGGGGCCTTGTGTCTCGGGTTGTTCCCTCTGCAAAGCAAGGCTAATATTTATTTCCATTATATATATTAATAGCACTTAGTAACTTTGAACAAGGTCAGGCCTTCGCTGCATTACACACTGTGCTAAGACATGCATATATTAGTGCCTCTCTCCTGCCTCCTTCGAAGGAGTGATGTCAGAATGCAGTGCCTGAGAGGCAAGAAATGATCCTGATGTGTTCCAGGGCTCTGTCCTGGCACTCTGGCTCATCCCAAGGAGTGCATTATGGGCAGGAGATAATTTGCTTGGCCTTTCATAACTTGATTATCCTATTTCAGGATAAGGATTTGTGACTAAAGGGAGGCGATGGCTGAGAAACCTCTGCAAAGTTTTGCTGCTGGAGTCATAAAGATAGAATAAGGCAGGACTGCCAAAGTATGGGCACCTCCATCACAGCTGACACAGGTTTTGTCTAGATTTAGGCCTCTCATTTTCACTCTCCAGATGATCCCACACTCCTTCAAGTTCAGAGCAGCATCTCCCTGAACTGACAGATTAACAGACAACAACTCTCTGAACTTCCAGTATGAATTCATAAATAGTCTGTCTCCAACCACCATTAATGCATCCCAGATTTAGGGCTGCCTGACAAATCATGTTCTCCCATTGCCACCATGACTTTGTTCTACACTTCAGATTTGAAAACCATGAAAAATAAATAATAGTTTGGAACGGCTGGTTGTTAAATCATCGCAAGCTCCTACTGGGGACGCACAGTGACACCATGACTGCCAATGTCTATTAAACTGCTTTACAGGCCTTGGATATTCTGGTGGGACCCAGTTCTGTGAGGGCAGCAGGGATGTGCTGGGGTAGCACTGCTGAGGTTTTGGAGATGGCAGTTTGGATATGATTTTTTTTGGCTT